GAGGAGCTTGGACATTCGGGAGGGACTCGGAGTAGAACCGCTGCTCCTCCGGATCGAAAGGAGTCAGTTGAGGTGGTTTGGGCATCTGGTCAGGATGCCTCCTGGACGCCTCCCCGGGGAGGTGTTTCGGGCATGTCCTGCTGGCAGGAGGCCCCCGGGTCAACCCAGGACACGTTGGAGAGGTTACATCTCCAGTCTGGTCAAGGAACGCCTTGGGGTCCTGCCGGAGGAGCTGGTGGAGAAGGCCGGGGAGAGGATGGTCTGGAGCTCCCTAGTTGGGATGCTGCCCCCGCGACCCGGACTTATAAGCGGAGGAAGACGACGATGACGAATAATAATAATAATAATAATAATAATAATAATAATAATAATAATAATAATAATATTAATAATAATAATAGTAATAATAATAAAACATTTCTGCTGATTTATTAAAGAAGAAAAACTGGTGCTAAGAATTCAGACCCTTTGCTATGACACTCATATATTCAACTCAGGTGCTTTCCACTTCTGATCATCCTTGAGATGGTCTTACACCTTCATTGGAGTCTAGCTGTGTTTGATTATACTGATTGGACTTGATTAGAAAAGCCACACACCTGTCTATATAAGACATTACAGCTCACAATGCACGTCAGAAAGTGGAATACTTGATAGAATTTTTTTTTCTTTTTTTTTTGTAGTAGGTTACTCCCCACTTCAACTCACACTCCCATTCAGTAGGTGGCGGAAATGCACCTGAAAGTTGGTTGCCACCCGCCAATTAAACAACAGAAGAAGAAGAATGCACGTCAAAGCATGCCATAAGCAATCATGAGGCCAAAGGAACTGCCTGAAGAGCTCAGAGACAGAACTGCGGCAAGGCACAGATCTGGCCAAGGTTACAAAAAAATCTCAGCTGTACTTAGGGTTCTTTAGAGCACAGTGGCCTCCATAATCCTTAAACGGAAGACAGTTGGATGACCAGAACCCTTCCTTGAGCAGGCTGTCTGGCAAACTGAGCTACTGGGGAAGAAGAGCCTTTGTGAGAGAGGCACAGAAGAATCCAAAGATCACTGTGGCTGAGCTCCAGAGATGCAGTCAGGAGATGGGAGAAAGTTGTAGAAAGTCAACCATCATTGCAGCCCTCCACCAGCCAGGGCTTTATGGTAGAGTGGCCCGTAGGAAACCTCTCCTCAATGCTATACACGTGAAATCTCACATGAAGTTTGCTAAAGACACCTGAAGGACCCTGACATGGTGAGAAATAAGATTATCTGATCTGATGAGACCAAGATAGAACGTTTTAGCCTTTATGCCAAACTTCCCTGAACCGTCTACAGGTGGTTCAGAATGCCTGTGCTTGGCTTCTGACCAAATCGTCAAAACACACCCACATCACCCCACGTCTCCTCCAGCTTCACTGGCTGTAAGTCAACTTCAGGGTTCATTTCAAGATCCTGGTTCTGGTGTTTAGGGCCTTACATGGACAAGCACCATCATACATTGGTGATCTTCTCAGTATCTACACCCCCAGCAGGTCCCTGAGGCCCAGTGATCAAAGCCTACTGGTTGTGCAGCGCACCAGGCTAAAGACCAAAGGTGACAGATCATTTGCTGCTGTGACCCCCAGACTCTGGAACTCTCTCCCCATGAGCCTGAGATCAGTGGACTCAGTGGTCTCCTTTAAAAAGCAGTTGAAAAGTCACCTGTTCAATCTGGCTTTTGCGTGGCCTTCATCACACCCTCTTCTTATTCTGTTATATCAACTCTGCCTTTCCAGGGATCTACTGATTTCCCTCTTTCATTATAAGTTTTTTTCTCTCCCTTTCCTTCCATTTTTAATTGCATTTTTTTCTCATTTTAACCATACTTTTAATCCTTTTATTATACATTTTTTATATATATATTTTTTGTGTTTTGAAGCTCCTCATAATGTTTATCTTGAGAGAAGCTATTTAAAACATGTTTTCATTCTTTCTTCTTTCTTAATTTTCTTCTTCTGCCACCCGGAAAGTACAGCCACTTCTCTTTTCTCCTCCTCATCTTTTAATGGTCCAGTCTGTCTGTTTACAGAGTGCTTCACTGCATTTCTCCTGAAAACTACATTGTTATTAAATCATGAATTTGGTCAAATAGTCATTCAACATGATTGGCAAGATTTTTTTTCAACATTGAGAATGGACCAGGGGTCTCCAGTATATTTCAGATTCCTGGAAGGAGTGGATTAAGAAATGCCTTCCCTTTCTGTCCGTGGAGGACATCGAAGACCTATGGATTTTTGGCCTGATATTTACTTTATTTCTTTTGATTGGAGTGGGAGGATTTCTGGTGTTTTGTAAAATTGGGAAGTCGGGAGTGATTGGACTGCCACTTATACCCATGGATCTTAGCGGTGTGGATACTGTTCAGACTGGGACGCTGCTCAAGGTGAAACACAAGCTAGAGGTCCTAGCTGTGATCCCTGTGCTAATGCTCAAAGTGGATGCAATCTTGGAGAAAGTCACTGCACAGTATTGGCAAGTTTGATACCCACCAATTGGATTTACTGAGAGACTGAAGACCAGTTAAGAACTGAAATGCAGAAAGGAAATTATCTCTGCCTTGTCCAAAACATACAATTTTTTTTTGCATAGCAAAGCCACCCCCTTTCAGGGATAACTCTGAAATGCCTTTGTCTCCCTCCCCCCATCTGTTCCTCATGTTACCCATTTTCATTCCATGGAAGTGCGAGGTACACGCATGCCCAGAGTTCAGCCTGATTCTGTTATGTTGTGCCTTGTCTTGTTATTGTTATGTCAAATCATGGACGGGTTGTTCTGAAACTGTGATTTTGTTGTACTGGGACGCTGGTACAATGACTAATAAAGATCCTTGATTACTTAATTCGAAGCAGGTGGGTGGAGAAAGCCAGGCATTGATCATCATTTGTCCAATACAGTCCCTGCAGTGAAGCATGATGGTGGCAGTATCATGTTGTGAGGGTGTTGCAGAGGAACATGGGAATGACCTTAAGCACTCAGCTAAAAGAACAAAGGAGTGGCTTCAGGGCAACCCTGTGACTGTTTCTAAATGACCCAGCCAGAGCCTTAATTTAAACCTAATTGAGCATATTTGGAGAGACCTAAAAATGAGGATCCCCAAATCCAGGTGTGAGAAACTTGTTGCATATTAACCAAGGAGACTCACGGCTCTGTTAGCTCAGAAGGGTGGTTCTACTAAATACTGAGCAAAGGGTCTGAATATGTAGGACCATGCAGTTTTCATTAAAAAAAAAAGACAAAAAATCTGCATACATTTCAGAATTGCTGTGTTTTTCTGTTAATATGGGTTGTGTGTGTACATTAAAGCAAAAAAAATAATTGCATTGATTTTAGCAAATGGCTGCAATATAACAAAGAGCAAAAAATTGACGGGGATCTGAATACTTTCCGTACCCACTGTATTTGCTTAATAACATCCATGGGGTATCTTTCTTTCTGGGCCAGGCAGTGTGTGTGTGTGTGTGTGTGTGTGTGTGTGTGTGTGTGTGTGTGTGTGTGTGTGTGTGTGTGTGTGTGTGTTTAAATTATGCACATCTGTTATGTACAGACAAGTAACTGAAGTGAATCTAGTTTTAATAAAACTTAGCAAGTTATGTAAACTTTTGAATACAAATCTACTCAACAGGACTTTTTAATATGTTTTTCCCCTAAACACAGTTTTGTGGGAAACTGATATGTGCCTGATCAGCAATTCTCTACATGCCAGATAGCATAATTGCACCATGAAATGCACCTGTGTTGAAGCATTCGCATTCACTGGAACTCACCACTCCCTCGTCCATTTTTTCTTTTTTATTATTATTATTCAATTTGTCACCCGTCTGTGGCTATATCTGAAGAAAGAGCCAACATAGATTACTAAGCCACAGCAGATGCAATGCACATTAAATATTCAGCTGCCTATTTCATCCTTAAATACACCCAAGCTTTAAAAAGCAGCCTGGCTGACACAGAGGGAGGTATTGCATTTCCAAAGCAAGTTAGAGGAGAATGTTAAGTAGAAAGCTGTTTCGTAGTGCTGATTGTTGAGAGGAATTTACATTATTGTTACTAAGAATGTAGGAACCGAGTTTCAGAAATGCCTTTATTTCTATGTTCCTACTTGACTCATTCTATGTGATTTCAGCACCATGGACAGATCTTTTGAGACTTGCATGCCTTCAAAATGGTGGGCAAAATACTTTTGAACACTACTTTTTGAGCTTTTTAATGCTAAGTTGCAACTGAACGCTACATCCTGAAATCCTAAACCATGTTGTGATTGTTCAAGCTATAGTAAAAAAAATGAACTCATTGTTTAGCTCAAAAAGTGTTTAAATGCTCGCTAACCTAATGCAGACAATTTAATTTAAATCAAAGTGTCCATAAGCTAGTTTGTTAGTCAATGTATTGACTATTTTGTCTGAGCAGACTGCGTTTTAAAACCATGCCGCCCTCGCGTTTAACTCGTGATCCACCCTTGGAAAAGCTCCCGGATCGTCGTCTCACCAGAAGAGGGCATTCCGATCCTGTCTGACGAAGTTCCTCTGACATGCAGACGTGATTAACAACAGCGTCACGCTGTATTTCAAATCGTGCAACAGCAAGAACGCAAGTAACATCGGAGGGGAAAAAGGTGGATGTTTGGACGTCTTTCCCATGACGCTTGTTGACAGCGTTTCAAACTGACTTGGGAATAACCTGCCATTACTTTCCGCTGTGCGCCATGCATGGATTGAGCATCCATTAGAACAGAGACGAACGAGCTAAACCAGGAACCTTCAGGGTGCTCCATTTAATGGAAAAATAACGTTTTCTTTCTTGACACCATGCTGCAGCCTTGGGAAGTTTTTGCGTTAACGGGATTTCTTGTGCGCGTTTAGGACTGACATGACTTACTTGGATTTGGCATCGTTATTGTCTGCGCCTGCTGCAGTGCTGTTTTTGTCAGTTACTTGAAAAAAGAGGGGCACCGATCTTTTTTTTTTTTTTTTTTTTTTTTTTTTGCTGCGGAGGGAATGAGAAGAGAATGGAGATTTGAATCCGGATTCAAGAAGCTTTAATCTGCAGTTAAATGACATTCGTGCCGGTTCACTTGCACGGGTATAGATGCAGAACTAAACCGGATAAAGCATCCAGATCCGGGAGAGTAAAGGGCAGGTGCGCTTTGGAGTCAGCGGCTGCGCGGAGGGACCGGACGTGTGGATTAGGACGATACCTGTCTGTGGAGAGCGCATCATGCCGACTCGAATGTCGCGCAGTGGGAGCGATTAAAACCTGTAGGCTGGAGCTAACTGATAAGCGGATATGGGTAAGTTTGTGTCAGCCTTTTTTTTTTTTTTTTTTTTTTTTTTGGGTAGCGTAGGTTGCAACATACTCCAGTACCCCAATATTCCTCTCACACAGACCCGCGAAGTATCTGTTCTGTATGAAACCTTTTCAGATCAGAAGGTTGCGTTGGGAGTAGTTGGTGTTTTTCAGCTGCGCTATGATCCTCTGGAGAATCCTGGCCGGTTTTATTTAAGTGGTTCAGAAAGCTTGTGGAATGTGGCTGAAACCTGTACTGTTGCCAGTCAGTCGCAGAGCTGCAATGCTATCTCTCTCCCACCATTTCCCGGTGGCACGCTTTATTAGTTGTTGTTTTTTTCTCCGTTTTTTGCAATTCCTCCAAGAAAACACGAGGGTTTCTAACGGGTCTACTTGTTTGAATTGAGAACTATCCTTCTCCTCTTATGGATAGGGTAATGTGGATCGGAAAGCAAATCACGTAACATGTTGGAAGCAAGTCAACTTTATAAAGCATGGCTCCGCATAATCATTAATTGTCCTATTTGGGCGCCCCTCTCACGAAACCTGCTGTCCGGTCGCTGTCCAGTGCTGACGCAAAACACCGAAACTTTGGATTTAAAAGGAAAAATCGGATGTGATCTTTGGTCTGGTCTTCATTTAAAACACCCAATGGTGATGTACACTTGTCTCCAAGTCTCAAAATTGAACATTGAAATTGAAGACGATGCATGTGTGAGTGTGCGCGGATTTCAGTGAGTAATCAGCGTATTTACATATCCGTATTTCTGCGCATGTTTTCACATTCTTGTTCTCACTTAAAATTACCATTTGCCCCTTCTGGTTCCCTTACGCCTGCGCAAAGTCACTCAACCCTGAGTCACCCCCTGCTCACTCCAGCTGCCCCTACTAACAGAATGTCACATTTCTTTTCTTTTTCTTCTTCTTCCGGTCTCCTCTTTTCTATTCTCTAGATCTGATGTGGTTGCTTTATCTCCTTAGCCATTCTTAACCAGCTTCAGTGGTGGCTCTGTGCCAGTAATTGTGGACCCCCCCCCCCCCCCCCCCCCCCCCCCATACATCGCCCCTCGATAGGAAACATAACCACTTTGATATAAGCCACGGTAACACACAACTCCCATACTTAAAGCTGTTTGAACTCAATGTGTTGCATGGGACAAAAGTGCATCTCCAAAATTAATTGAGGGTGCTTTGAGTGTAATTGAAGCTCACCGGGTGCATGAAAAAAAAACCAAATCCCAACGTACATTCCTGCATTTATTCAAGCCTTTGCCCACAAGTATTTGGTGATTACATGGTGTTGTAGAGTATTTTTTCTCACCAGCTCATTGTGAGCCTCTTCATTAACAGCATGTGATGCACTTATGTTTCATGGAGCATATCATTAGAGATGTGCCTCTCAGAAAGAGAACAGTGTGCTGGAGAGCAAAGCTGTGAGAAGAATTTAGAGATCCAAATATCTCATACAGCTTATCTGCCTATAAATGCCAAACATGTTTACCTTTTCAGAAAAAAAATAAAAATCCAAACCTTTAAAAAGTGATGGGCAATGTTTTTTATGGTTAAACAAAACTTCTTGTTTGTATGCTCTGAACAAGTCAATAATAGCAACAGATGACTTGTGCTGGCCTTGCAGTGTGCAGCAGGCAGCACTCTACAAATGTCAGGTGAAACAGGTGCAGAGAGGGGATCAGCAGGCCCTTAGAGGGCCACGCGGCTGTTTATATGTTCACTTCCCTCTCTGAATGAAAAAATAAAATTAGTGATATCTTATTGACCCATGAAAAACATCAGTTGTTTTTATTTTTATTAATTAGGATATGGCTGTTGTTTCAATCCACTTAACAGTTTCTTAAATCACCATCCTGCATGTTAAACACTACATGCAACATCTATGTAGCCTTGACTGGTGATGATGTTTTTGTGACTCACTTTACTTTCTGCTGTGGACAATCCATGAATCATAAGTGAAACCCGGGGTGGTTTGTTTTGTAAATGTTGTTCTCATTTGTTTTATGTGTAGGCGTCAGATTGATTTTTTTTTTATTCTAATACAGCCGGGAAATTGTTTCCAAAGAAAAAGTTGAGCTGTTTCAAATCCTGTATAGCCCTTTAAAAAGCAAAATACATTTAAAAATGCATTTGACAGAAAAAATACATCCACTGTTGTCTTTAAAAAAATCTCCTGGATTATGTTGCAGCTCCTTTAAATACTAGAGTAGCTTTGTGGTATTTTTGTGCTTTAGGGGTTCTTGGTGTTGATAAAAACATAACATTTTGTGAGTTTACAGCTCACTGTGCATTAAAACTAAACAGCGGTGTCCAAAGGAGCACTGTTTTCAAAATGTTCCTTGTCTGAAAGGAAAAAAAAAAACTTTTTGGTTGATGAAAAGTCCTCAGAATATAATCAAAACCTAAAAAACTAAAATTAAAGCATTAAAACAAAATGTTGAATTTAATATTTTTATATTAGATCATTACATTTTTTAAATAAGTTATATGTTTTCAAGAAAGGAAAAACAAAGGGCTGGTTGACGAAAATTCATAACCGTTTCCCTTAGGGAAGTTTCGATTACATTTGATTTGCTCATGATACGAGTCCAAGTCATTTGAGTACCAAGTCCTGATCTGATACTTCAGCAAAGCATCAAAATAAAAAGAAAAAAGGAAAATACATCTAAATTTTCCTTTAAGTTTTTTATTAGTAAGGTGTAGTGTTTTATTTCTGTATTCATGTCCTTAGTTTATCTGGCAAAAACATTCCTTGTTCAGGAAGCACATTGATAAAAATTGAATATGTTTTAAAGTAGCGGAGTTGCTTATATTTTACATTGTTTACCTCCTGAATATGCAGCTGTATTGAGTGATGCACATTCCCGGGGAGTTATGCTGTGTCCCAGCCAGCAGGCTAACTTTTCTCGGCACTTTTGTCAGCTATTGGGGCCACAGACATCATATTCGGACTGCCCTGTCATCTTGGATGCGTCTTCGATTGCCCCCAGTATATTCATTTCTACTGAAAAAGATGTTTGCCCAACTAAAAAAACACACATTATATTATGATTTTTTAACAATATCAGGCATGTGGAATGACATGATAATTAAAATTTTGACTGCAGTTGCATTTAGAGGTTGAGGAACCCACTCAATATCGCGGCAACGCTGTTATGCTCACCAGCGCCCAATGGCAAATCTGCATGTTCATGCCAGTGATTGGTGCAGTAAGCTCAGGTGCTGCAGAATGTAAAACCCCAACATTTTGAAGTCTATCTGCAATTTCTCTGTGTTTAATAATGCATATTTCACTGTTAGCTGGCTCCTTGTTTTTGTTAGAGATACCAATGTGAAATGGGACCTAATGCCGACCGATGATTGGCCAGTGGCGTGTCCAGATCTTTTAAAATGGGGTGGCCTAGGTGAGGCACAGCTTTGTGCATGGGTGTCACCAATGGTTATGCTTTTTTTGTTTTACCCCCAAGCCTTTTGTGGACAATGAAAAGCCTACTTAAAAGTAAATTAGTGTGGTGGCACCTGGGGTGGCCAATCAGATTCCTAAGGTGGCATGTGCTACCCCAGGCCACTCCCTGGACACGCCCCTGTGATTGGCTGTGGCGATGCATGACGGGAAAATAGCTGAAGTAGAATGTCATTTGTTTGGAAGGCTGCTGATCATGCAGCTGTCTTTTCCAGTATGTTGATTGCCCAGTGTGCACACATTACAAATGGCTGTAATTCTGCCTACACAGTCCAGTTTAAAATACCACCAAAATACAGACATTTAGCACCACTGTGTAGACACGTTAGCTCTGTGTTAGCTTACAAGCTAACAGCTGCATGTTAAGGGGGTTTCCCAATGTCAAGGTGCTTTGCCCAGCAAGGCAATGTCTTGCTAGGCCAGGTGCCTTGCTTACAAGAACACTGTCTTTCATTGGTCAAAGAAAATGTTAAAAGGGCTCTCGCAGCAGTCATACATTTAGTTGTGTATATATTGGTTACATTAAATAAGTAAGCAAGTTACTACCTGCTAGCCACCAAGGCTGTAGCTACTATGCAACTAACCCACCATGTATAGTGGTTTTGGATCTAAAAAACATTTTAGATATTAGTCTGATAGCTACAATTAGTTGACTTACATTTAAACTAGAAATTTGCTCCCGAAACAGCTGCTTTCTCCTGATCCGCCATCCTTCAGAAAATACGGCACTGTATTCTCGGATATTTTTGACCAAGGCCAGGTTGCAAGACACCTCCCATGTATCCTTGGTCAGCTAGCTAAACATAGCTGTTTAAATGGAAAACAGACGCCTCGGTAGCACATGAACATTGGAAGACGCCTGATGACATATCTCTTAGGCAACCAGGGTGGGACCAAGACATCAAGGCAAGGTTCCTTGACATTGATAAAACCCATGATTTCTGTACCCCCGCCTGCCATGAACTGTGTGAGGTGATGAGGTTGTTTTATTTCCAAGAAACAAAGAATACTGATGTAAAGGAACTTGTTGAGATTAAAACAAAACCATTGTTGTTCTATTTGAAAATCTATATCTCAGGATTCATTTAAACTGTCATATTTGTTGTTTTAAATGGTTAAATCCAATCTTTTTCACGCTATTCCCATCGCGTGATTGGGCCAGAAATCTCATCATGTTATCAGATTGGAGCATTCGTAGTTTTCCTGCACCTTAGAACAGTTCAGAAGAACTGGCCTGTGGAAAAGCTACTAGAGTCTATGAAGCCCTGCACAACACAACAGAGGTGTGTCTAAGTGGGGCTCTGGATCACCATCATTTTAGTTTGTGTTAGTGGAGACATACTTTTTGTGCTGAAGATAGTTGAGGTTTTTGTATTGAATTTCATCAAAACCAGTTCTTTAAATTTGTCTTTAGGTCATGTGAGGTAGTTCAATTATTGCTGAAGTATTTCAAGCTTAATAATTCAATAAGAACAGTTTTTTTATTATTGTTTTTTTTTTAGCCTGTACAGTACTTTGGACAGCTCCTA